CTATATCGAATTGGCCGGCACGTCTCCTTGACTAAAATCCTAGAATCTCGTACGATTGATACATGCTGTGTCTCCGAAACACATATGTAGAGAATCGTAATGCGGTCACTCACTTGACCTCATCTCTCCAAAACGGAAAGTCGATGAGTTACACACTGCGTGTTTCTGATGACCCAATGGGTAATTGTCGTGTACTGACAGATGTAGGCATAGCACTGAGTACGAGGGCAGAACAAGCACTATTGGAATGAATTCCCGTTAACAGACGCTTATGTGGTAAACGGCTAAACTGCTCGTTAGGAACTCGGAAAGATAGCGAGACACGTCGTTGCCTGTCTGTCGTTTCTGCCTACGCTCACGCTGACTGCAGCCTGGATGAAGTGAAAGATGACTTTCACAGAAAGCTTTCTGAGTTTCTTCAGAAAGCTAAACACTCAGACATAGTACTCATAACGTGTGACTTTAGTGCCCAGGTAGGTAGTTTAAACCGAACACAAAGATATTTGGGTGCGTATTTTGGTATTCCGGTTCAGTGAACAATCAGTGGTGTCCGTCTGCTGCAACTGTGCTCAGACAATCGTTCATTTCTGAAATCACCAATTTTAGGCAATGAGAAGAGACATTGTTTAACATGGAGACCCCCTGCATCAAACCAACGATGGACTCAAGTGGACCATATTACCATCAGTCATCGTTGGAGAGGGTCGATAGAAGACTGTCGCTCGTTCTGGAATACATGTCTAGACTCTGACTATGCTCTAGTACGAGCACACGTTCGGTGACACCTCTCTGGACACAGGTAAACAACATTAAGAAATCGCATTGGAATCGAACTCATTGACGAGAAAGCGAAAAGTATATTCCAGGAACGACTGAGGTCACACTTAGGTAGTTCTGAAAACGAGGCTGACCCAGATGTTGCTTGGAGAGAAGTACGAACAGTTGTGGAAACAGCAGCGATATCTATCAGTGATATGAATTGAAGGGTCACGAAAAACCAGTGGATTTCCACGAAGTCTCTTGCACTGGTAAATTCTCATACAGAGAATTATTACAAACATTTTCCATTAAAGCCTAATAATTAAATGTTTTGTATTGTTGTTACGTTTGAACACGTTTTAAAACAGGATGACGGTGTTTCAGGTTTGACATAATAAATAAATGCTCAACAGTTTGAGTTCTGATAACCACTCGCTTGTCCAATGGAGTGAAATTTAAATTCACTTGGTGTTGCTTGCATGTATCTTCTCATTTCAAAAGCAGGTGGCTATCAAGACTCAGTAGCTAAATGGACAACGCGATGGTGTTTGAAGCGAACAGTGCTGGGTTCGAGTCCCGGGGTGAATATCAACTCTAGGATGCACGTACATCCAGCTGATGAATTCCGAACAGGACAAAATGAGCGTCCTGGATTCCACTGCTAGCCACCATCCATCTTTTTTAAAAATGTAATCCGTTCATCAACGATCAGGATTTGAAATATGGATATAAGATGACTAAGTAAAATTTAATAGTAAAGTATTTCATGTACAAGTTAAACATCAATTGATTATTAAGGCAGGCGGTATTAATGTTAAATAAAATACGCCTAAATTGTTCATCACAGTAGACATTACTACTGTTGATATTTCGATTATTAGCCACCAATCACTATGTTCAATTTATTCCCGTACGGACAATACACTGAAAGTGATATTTAAATGAAACTAATCTTAGGATGGATTTATTAAATAATTGTCTTCTGAAACATTTGGTCGTTCAGAAATTATTGACACTTAAAGTAGTATAAATTTGCGAACATTCCAACTTTATTATTTATCTTGTGTTTATTTCACCGCCCCACTCCCTTCCCCTAAAAAAAGATTGAATCTATTATTTAAAATGTTTAATAAAATTTACCACTTTTGTTTGCATTTGTAAATGTAGTTTAGTACGTGTTGGAGATGTTAGATCCCCAGAACTCACTTGGAAAGTGGCCTAATTTTGTAATTTTATTTGGAAAGTCTGAATTTCTTTGTTTTCGCGCCAAAAGCGCTCTTCTCACCTTCATGTAGTATTTCCCACTCGGGAGAATCTTGAATGCTATTGATCCGTTGTGTCTTTTAGCATGCTATTTCGTAACTCTCCCCAAGGACGGTTTTGTGCTGTATATATACGTTTTGATTTGTGTCTGTTGTTATCACTGGTTTCTGGCTTTTGCGGAATATACTTACCCATTTCAAACTTGGACTTCTTCCTCTAGTTTAGCGGGGCTGTGACGCAACGAATAGCTAGCTTATTGGTTTTTGGTCACCGATTTTTTGTTCAGTTCGCAGTCTAAGTGAACTCGTAACCGCTTCAAACCTAACAGTACGAGAATAAAGTTTTATTTCGTATGCCTAATGGATCAAAATGTAAACTTTTCACAATAATATCGATTATTAATTGTTCATTAAAAGAAATTGGCAGCATTATTTACTCGATAATTGCTCAGTGATAAATATTCGATTATACATTTACATTGACTACATGTTTTTGAAATTTATTACTTTTCAACTATTTAGTTTGTCTGGTATCTGCAGTTGAATAACAAACAATGATATAAAGTTGTGCCTTTTTCAATACACGTTTCCGTGTTTGGTCCATTGAGTCAAACAGGATACACATTTTCAACGCTGGTACAGTGATAATGTAAACGAAACCGTTTTTTGTTTTGTGACTTAACAAAAATTAATTTTAAGACAACTGATTTTTAGACTTCAAATCAATACAATTCAGTGGGTCTAGTGATAGTATATGATAGACTACAGAACATTAACATGTTAAATATTAGATTTATAAAGAATATGGTTCCAGACTAATTCAAAGCAGTTCATTTGTATGCTTTTATTCTAATTCTCTGGTTATTATTAGTATTATACTTTCTAACTTCTACAGTTCTTCTGGATAATTCAACAAGCAAATAATAGAAAACAATCATATTTCTTCACATAGGTCAATATGAATCTCTGTTCCTTATTGAACTAAAATTTTGACAGTTTTGTAATTATGAGATTTTATATCATTTCGAAGATGAAGATTAAACTAATGAAAAAAACAACTAGACAAGAATTAAATTTATAAAAATTCGATTACTACAATGGATCTAACTCTTAAATATAAACTGGGAAATATTCAATGTGTTATTCAGAGTATAATGTTCTTCTTGAATATTATATCACCCTAAAAGTAGTTACTATTGTAGATTCTAAGTTACTTAAATTAATTTTTGATTTATGAACTTAAAATATGAAAAAACAAGTCGGGTGAAGAATAATTGTAGAACCTTTACTTCATTAATTGTAAATGAATACAATTATCTTTCACTATTGTTCTCATCAATACACGCATATCAAAATAATAATGGAGAACACTTATCATAGGCATGGTAACGAACTTATAAAATACAAAGATTATAAAATTTACTTTAGTAGATTCTAAATAGTTATCGAGTGTGTAAGCCGATCTGAATTGAAATTACAGATAAAGTTGTTGTAGTGGTTGGAATTTAGAATAATGGATTGCTAAATTAATTTTATGCTTGCCTATATATTTAAACCATGGTGTGGGAACTATTTCCTAATTATCATTTCAATTTTGTTCTTAGTTCTAATTACGATATTTTTATTTAATGTAGATCTTCTGGTTTGATAATATTCAACTATCGCGTTATCCATCCAATACCCATAAAGATATATTTTAGTTTGACATATATGTATGATATAAACACATCAGCTAACCATGATTTTAAATAACTGCCAATGGTTAGACGATCAATCAGATTAAAGTTCTTGTTCATAAAATTAGTGGGTGGACGACACCATATTTGTATGATAAACCAGAAATTGTGTAGTGACGAGCTCCACTCAACTGTTCATCGATGATCCGAAGTGTCGCAATTTGGTCTGTGCACGACCGATCCTTACGGAATCCAATCTGTTGGTCTCGATGTTGGGCGTCTATTGCGTCTCCCATCTGTTTTCAGAAACACTCTGTTGGAAACGTTTCCTGATACTGACAGAAGTGTGATTCATCTGTGGTTCTCACATTTGCTCAGATCTCCTTTCATTGGAATCTTGATGATGCGTTCTTCATTCTAGTCTATCGGCACTTGCTTCTAATCGTCCTCCCGAATCTTCTTGAATAGAATATGGAGCATGTTTGCAGTTGCTTCAATGTCTGAATGCAGTGCTTCGGTTGGTATATTGTCAAGTCGTTATGCTTTCCCACAATTGATAAGTCTGATGGTCATCCTGAATATATTGGAAGGTCTGTTTGTACTGCTTCGATGTCGAGTGGGTTCAATGGAGCTGGTCGATTCAAGAATTTTTCGAAGTGTTCTACCCATCTGTCACTATGTTCTTGAATTTCAGTGATTGATATTCCTTCTTTGTCCCTGACTGATCTCTCTGGTTTACTATATTTCCCTGATGGTTTCTTCGCTGTCTGACATAGTTCTTTCATATTTCCTTCTCTTGCAGTATTTTCCGCTGTCATTGCTTGCTCTCCCATGTACTTCTACTTGTCAGCTCGAATGCTCCACTTCACTTACTTGTCTGCTTCAGTGTATTCAGCTTGTGCCTTCACTTTCTCTGTTCTTGTTCCACTGTTGCCCATTGTTTTCTTCTTCTTCTTCCTTTCTTGAATGCTGTCTAGGTTTTCCATGATGATCCATTCCTTATGACGATGCTTCGTGCAGTCTAGAACCTCCTGACAAATTGAAGTCAGTGCTTCTTTGATTTCCTTCCAGTTGTCCTCCATAATAGCTTTTCTCTCTTCCTTCAGCAGATCTTGTATGACTTGGAATCTGTTGTTGAGAGTTATCTTGAATTCGATGAGTTTGTCAGTATATGAATGGGAGACTGTATTGAACCTTAGCAATGCTGTTTCTTTAGTTATCCAGTGTTTGTTTAGTATCGGTTTCATATCGACAACCACCAGTTGTTGGTTATCTGAAGCTATGTCAGCTTCTCTGCTGTTTCTCACGTCTTCCATTGACATTCTTGAAATCTTATTGATGTGAATATGATCAATGTGGTTCAGTGTAGTGTGATCCGTTGAGACCCAGTTATCTTTGTGTATGCGTTCGTGGAGGAATATTGTACCACCTATAACCGATTTGTTGAATACACAGAAATTTGAAAATCCGTCGTCATTTTCATTCTTTTCTCCCACTCGATGTCGTTCCATGATATCCACATATTCGGTAGTGTCCATTCCGGTTTTGGAGTTTAGATCTCCCATCAGGATGGTCAGATCGCTTCTTGAGCACTTCGTTATGATTGATTGCGGCCTTTCGTAAAACTGATCTTTATTGTCGTCGTTGTTAACATTGGTGTGTGCATAACATTGGATAACATTCGTTGTGATTCCCTCCTTCTCTGTTCTGAAGGATCCTATGATGATCCTGGATCCGTGAGATTCCCATTCTGTGAGTGAATTACATGTTTCTCTGGACAGTATCAGAGCAACTGCCTGAGTGTGTGGAGCATTTTCCTATTCGTGAACGGAGTACAGCAGCATCTCTACCGCATTTAGCCTTTGCTGTCCAGCTTGTGTCCTATGGGTTTTGCTGATTCTGAGTACTGCCAAGTTGTGTCTCCTGATTTCTGTTGCTGTTTGGCTGGTCCACCAGGTCTATCACATTGTCCGGACTTTCCATGTACCTATGAAAATTGTTGATCTGGTTCTTAGATATATATATCTATATGCTTGAGAATCGAGCTGATTCATGTGTTGACTGAAAATAACTGATTCCTTTTTTATTTATCCGTAGTAAATAAAATAGTCTACCACATTTTTATTCCAGAACTGATTTGTTATTCACATTTTTAAACCATCCTTTTCTATCATTTTTAATAACGACTTAAATTATCATTTGTTTATTACAATATGTGAAATATTGTTATCAACTACGTATTATTTTTGTTATCATCTCGCTTGAACATCGTCTGCTGTGTTTGGTAATTCTAGTTAGTTAATTTTTTCATTGTCCATAGTTTCACCTTGAAGTCGCTGAAATTCATTTAAATGGAAAGTTTTTACATTGGAAATTATTACCTATTTCATCATTACTACTTTTGAATGTTTGATTTCACTGTGTTTTTAGATCATCACATAAATGCTAACCGGTGAAATTATATCAAATAACAAAAATAATCATGCTAAATATTTAGTGAATACGATAGTCATATTATCGAAATGAAATGTGATTTTTTTTCACTCCGTTAAATGTATGTTGATTAGACTAATATATAATACAATCGAAAGTATACCAAGTAATCAATGAAAGTTTGAACATTATTTTAATTATTTTAGATCACTGTCATTGATTCTTATAATTCTGTTTGCCTAGAATAGTTGCTTTGAAATGTTAACAATTCTATCTGTTCTAATTTTACATTACGTTAATGATAGTCAAATTGCATAACAAACCATTTCTAGTAGAAATTAATTGTTGTTATGTAGCATATTTTCACTCTGTTAAATTATGCCTCATCAGTCACATGTAGTAAACTTCTCATCAATCAGTTTGTGATTTGTTTTCACATGTTGCTTTTTTCACAATGAATTCAACTGATCAATATGATTGTTAATTATAGTGAAAATCATTAAATTGTTTTCAAGATCATTCACACTGAGAAGCCCAGTTAATTTTTACCATCGACTTCATTATTAACCCGAGTATACATATATATGCTGGATTCTATTAATCTGAACTGAACAACGTTTATTTTGATGTTAAAATTAGTTTTTAGACAAAATCAAACTCTACTGAATGTTTTAGGTGGAGTTTTGTTCTCTGAGCTGGATGGTTTGGTCGTGGAGCTTTCATCGTCCTTCTGAACGACATCAACAGCACAAACTTCAGATAGAAGTGAAGTGTTCGAATTTCTCCATATGTGTTTCACAGCTCGTTCTGTGCACCTCGACGTTGATTGGTTCTTATTGACCTTAAATTTGTCGTTGTTTACTTCTTTGTTTTGGTTGTGTCTCCCATTGTTTTGATTTTTGTTCTTATGTTTGTGCATGATTTTTCTGATTGGTTGATAAATTGGATTGATTTCAATATGCTTGTTGATTGCTGATTGACCTGAGTGCCAGGCTTCTAAAAATTCTCTGGTATTTTTTGGAGTTTCCTCTGTCTAAGATCTCTACATTTTTCCAATCGGATAAGTGTCCGTAGTTATCCACGCGTATTGATATAAGTGACGAGATATCATGGAGTTTGACCGCTAATTGATGTTCATGTAGGCGAAGGTGGAGAGGGCGTCCACTTTGTCCGATGTAGTGTTTGTCGCAGTTGGTACAATTTATTTTGTAGATGATGTTTGATTTGTTTTCCTTTGTTATTTCATCCTTTGGTTTGCATAGGATTGATTGTAGTGATTTTGTCGGTTTGTGTGCCACACCTATCCCCGAAGGTTTTCAGCAGTCTCGTTGAGGTTTCTGATATTCCTTGTGTGTACGGTAGGGTGATCCTTTTGTTGATTTTTGCGCTTGGCTTGGGTTCTGTTGCTTTGTGCGGTTGGTGTTTTTTGATGAAGTTAATTGGGTAGCCGTTCTTTTGAAATATGTCCTTCAGGTATTTCTCTTAATTTTTTCGTGCTGCCAGCGTGCTTCAGTGTGTCCTCGCCCTCTTGAACAATGTGTGTACGCAGTTGATTTTGTGGGCTCTTGGGTTGTTGCTGTTGTAGTTGAGAATTCTCCACCATTTCTACTGAATGTTAATCAATACCATTCTAAGCTATTTAACGTAGATCAGCTAGGTCATAGATGCATGCAATAAATTTCCAACTGGTATTAAATTTATCTTATTTATTATTGTATACTTTCATTATACTCAACAGTAAATGATAGAAGAGATGTGGAAACGTTCAATTAACATTATTAATACACAATTTTACGTCTAATATCATATTGGAAAAGTTTTATTCCTTGATTTTACAAGTATTCTCTACTTATAATATGATGTGTAATTATTCATAAATGATTTACTGTATAATTTTATATAGTAAGTAGTGATATTTATAAATGAAATTAATAATTCACAGAATCTTAACTTTAGAAAACCTTTTTTTCTGTAAGTTTATTTAATATAATTCATGTACCAAGTATCCCATTTTGAATTATACTGTTAATATGGAGGTTAAAGATTTTAAAATAATAATACAAATCGATGGGACTATAATTTATGGATGACCTTTGAGCGACACTGAAGTGACCTTGAGTGTGTCCATCTAATAACTAGAACCAAATGAAGGTTATGAAACATTATGGTGGATTAGAATGATAATGTTCAGTTGATGGTTAAAGTTAGAAATTAAATTTAACGTTTTCAACACGAAATGACATCAGTTATAATGCCAAAAATCCATTTGAATAAAATGGATGAGTGAATTTCGTGATAAAATCCCAGATTTGTCATCTTATACCCGAATTGGTTCGTCTATAAATTATAGTCTTGTCTACAAATCTAATCTAGTTCAAAGATATACAATCTAGTAGTTAAAAAGAAAAGGGAATGATATAACTGTTAAACTATTTACTTCAATTTAAAAAAAAATTATATAATAAGTAATAAACTATAAATTTTATTCTATTCAATGATTAAGAAAAAAAAACTATGTGAACAAAGGTTGAATTTCCTATTATGGATTTTATGGAAAATAATTTCATATATTTAACCATTAAACAAAGTTCATTTAGATAATAACAGAATTCAGTTATAAAATTATATAAGTGTGAAGTAAACAAGCTTATACATATACATATATCATGTATATTTCTATCAATTACTAATAATTATTCTTATTGATTTTTTATAATATTGAATATAAAAATAATAATTCCAATGAAATAGAGAAAAAAAGCAAATAATAATAATAATTTACAATTATCAATTAATTTCAACTTCGAATTATAAAAAGTAGAACAAACAAACAATAAGGTTGTTGTTGTTGTTTTTATGTTTAGCATATCAATAGGATCGAATACTAATAAATACATTTGAATATTAAATATATAAACATAAATTAGATCTATTTTTATACTGATAATCTAGACTCCAAATATATGTATAACTTATGTAATAGTTAATTTATAATCTTGATTAAAGTAATTAAATCAGTTTATCATTAAAAAAGATAAAGATTTTCGGAATGAATCAAAGGTTAGTATTTTTTAAAATGTATTTTAATGTATTTATTATTATCATTAAATGTTCAATTATAAAATAAATTTATTTCGTCGGACATCAGTCAGTTCAGGATCTCAATCAAAAACTTAATATTCTCCACAACCTTATACTGATAATGATCATGTGCTTACTAGTGACTAACTTTGTGAGGGAATTTTCGGAGTTCAGGTGAGAAGCCGTTACCAGTGGAGTTCATCCGCGTCGGATAGCGACAAGTATCTACATCAGTAAAATAAAAGATGGTTGCACGATTTCGTGGATTAGTTGATGCTGGCCGGCTCAGTGGTCTAGAGTTTAGGCGTTCACACATGAGACTGAAGGTCCTGGGTTCAAACCATGCGATTGGGATCGTGGATTCACACTACCGGAGAGTCCCACAAAAGGACGAAACGGCCGTCCAGTGCTTCGAGGTTTTCAGTGGTGGTCTAACATCGATCGATTCATGATCTCAATCAAAAACTTAATAATCTCTACAACCCTATACTGATTATTTGAGAATAATTGGAAAAATTTCATTTGTACTTGTTAATTATGTACAATTTAGAAATTGTCATTCCGTATAGATTTAATGTTGTTTTAGCAGATCAGAAATATTTGGTCAATATTCATTATATCGACTATTAATAAAGATTGAATCTTAATAAAAAACTTAATTTGTCATATTTTGAGTTTGAATATGATATTTACCTGATTCTTTAATATTTCATTACATGGCTTATTGTTGATAAATAATGAAGTAAGAGCACTATACATGGAATTGCTGGGGAGGTAGATTAGATACATTATTTCATGAGGTGTCTATACTTCTAAGTATTTTTAAAAAAGATTGTTCTTGGCATACTGTAATGAATGAGAACAACAATGGGAACAATCAAATATTAAATTACATTCGACCACGTTTCTGATGCCTGGTAGAAATTGCTTTATGAAACTTCAGAATACTGGAGCTTAACTGTTTACCAATAACCTTGAAAATTTGCAACATAACGACTTCAAATCCTATGTCCAGGAGATGTTCTACCTCTCTTCCTCTCTTCTTGGTAAA